TGACTTTCAAATTTTAAAAGAACCCACCCAACACCAAACACACTCAGGGTCTGGCTTTGTCTGGATTTGACATACAACTCGAACATTTTACTCCCAATTCTCCTCCCACAGAGGTTGATTATCTTTTTAATACTTTTACATCTGCGCTGCGTATGACTCTGAAAGAAAAAAATAAAACGAAGCAAAACCTTAAATCGGACATACTTGACTCCCTAGTATAAATCTTAAATTTGCATTTTAAAGCAGATGACTCGTAAGCTGCTGTGGAACTGGCATGTCATTAATTTGTTTTATTTGTATTTTTGTAAAAAGCCCCGTAAAGCTAGAACATCTTACTACTCATCACCGATTGAAGAATCTAAAAACAACTCTGAGCGAAGCATTCATTTAACCTTAACTATTAATGACTTGATGAATTTATTTGCAAATAAAATTTTAAAAGAAAATGTTTATAGAAAAAAATATTCATAACCTCAGTCTCTCAGAAGTAACATTATCTACAGCTACTTTCAATACCATTAATATTTATTTAGTCTATTTCTCCAATTGATCTTTCTGAGTTAACTTCAATAATTACTTCCTCAAAACCATTAATGTGTCTTTTAGACCTAATTCCTACAAGACTCCGCAAAGAAGTCCTGCCATTAATTAATGCTTCAATCTTAAATATGATCAACCTATCTCTAATAATTAGCTATGTACCACAAGCCTTCAAGCTCACAGTAATTAAGCCACTACTTAAAAAGCCATCACTTGCCTCAGCTGTTTTAGGTAATTATAGGCCAATCTCCAACCTTCCTTTCATATCAAACAGCTAACAGATCATCTGCAGAGGAATGGCTTATTTGAAGAGTTTCAGTCAGGTTTCAGAGTTCAGTTTTCAGAGTTGCACAGCACAGAAACACCTGTAGTGAAGGTTACAAATGATCTAATTATGGCCTCTGACAGTGGACTCATCTCTGTGCTTGTCCTGCTAGACCTTAGTGCAGCGTTCGATACTGTTGACCATAATATCCTATTAGAGTGATTAGAACATGCAGTCGGTATTACAGGTACTGTGCTGCAGTGCTTTGTATCATACTTATCTAATAGGCTCAAATTTGTTCATGTAAATGAGGAGTCCTCTTCACACACTGAGGTCAATTATGGAGTACCACAGGGTTCCCTGTGCGGACCATTTCTGTTTACCATTTACATGCTTCCCTTAGGCAGCAGCATCTGAAGGCATAGCATACATTTTCACTTCTATCCAGGTGACACCCAACTTTATTTATCCCTGAAGCCACGTAACACACACCAATTAGTTAAACTGCAGGAATTTCTATTAATGTAACATAACAGAAAGATCTGGATGTCCTCTAATTTCCTGCTTCTAAATCCAGTTAAAACAGACGTTATTGTAACTTTCTGGTTATGGTATCTAACCAGAAAGTTACTCTGGATAGTATTACTTTGGCCTCCAGTAACATTGTGAGGATTAATATAGTTAGGGCTGGATCAGATAACCCTGGATTCTCTTTTAGTTACCCTAGGCTGCTGGGGGTCTTCCAATGATGCATTGAGTTTTTCTTTTTCACTTACCTTGTGTTTTATACACCACTCTGCATTTAGTCTTTAGTTATTACTAATCTCTGGCTCTGTTCCACGGCATATTTTTGTCCTGTCTTCCTCCCCTACACTCCATACTTGTAGCAGCAGATGTCCACCCCTTCCCAATCCTAAGTATGTCGGAGGTTCCTCCCTTTTAAAGGGGAGTTTTTTTCTTACCACTGTTGCCAAAGTACTCGCTCACCTGATTGTCTGATGACCAGATGTTCTCACCAGATTTTTTGGTTTTTTTCTGTTTTCTCTGTATTATTCTAGGGTCTTTACAGTATAAAGTGCCATCAGGGAACTGCTGTAATTTGGCACTAAATAACAGAAAAATAATTAAAACTGAATTTGGTCAGAGTAGGTGTTTTTTTGTTGTTGTTTCATCTCTTAAGTAACAAATAGATTTTAAATGACCTTATACAAAGCATAATAACAAATAAGAGAAACTTTTTAATTATAGGTTTCTAATGTGTATTCAGAGAAGACTATACCATCAGACGAACGGTGTCTTTCTTTGGAAGTTTTTAGAGCACGTTTGGTGCGTCTTCTTTCACTGTTGGTTCAACTGTTGCTTCCACTGTATTGTTGTGATGAATGGCCTATATATACAGGAAGAAAATTTAAAAAAAAAAATTTTTGCCGTACGTTCTCAGCTGTCTTGTCAGTGTTATTTCAGATTAAATGTTGTTGTAAGACATTATGAAAGCTGTGTTGAAGGTGTTTTACCTGTGTAGCATTTCCAGGTGATGAACGAGTATTATTAGAGGATAGAGAATGCCAGATAGAGGTGAGTAAGGTGGGTTTTCTCTGAAATGCATTGGATTACATTAGTTACAGGCATTTAAACTTAACCTTTCCCCCAACATCTAAATCAAATCTAATCTACAAATAGTTTTACACATCATCAAACCAAGAAATGCAAGATGTCAAGTTTTGTAATATTTTAACAATTCGTCAGGGTACCTTTGGTAATCTTTACTTAAACCAATAAACATGAAAATATAAAACATTAGAAATACTGGTTGATGTTTCTGGTGTTTTATTAATGTAGTACTTACGGTAGGTGTAGCTCTAGCTGAATGCTAGAATGACAAAGAACAACTTTAAGTCTTCTTAAAATAAACCATTTGATGTTTAAGAAGAAGAAACATTTTAATAAAACGAAACCAAAAAAAGTAATTATGGAAGCTGCACAAAAAAAGGTGGAAATAAAAAGATTTCATATTTTCTCTCTTTCTGGACACTGATGACACTGAAGTTGGAAATGTAAGTTGTAAAAACTAAAGGGACAAAGATTTAATATTAAAATAGCTATAGCCTATGTTTTTCCTGATCTGTATATGACCTATATAAAATCACACCATCCATGTCAAATAATAAATTAAGATGACTTTAAGCTGCAAAGATTCCTTATTATTGTGCTGAGTTTATCTACTTTTGTTTTGCTCATTTTAGAGGCTGTGATTGGGTGATGTTTCTTAAAGATTGGATTAAGATGTAATGACAAGTGTTTGTATTTACTACTGGATAAAACTTAAAAACAGAATAATGTTAGACAGATCCAAAATTCAGTGCTAGAGGGTTTGTTTTTTTTTGCCTCTTTCTTTTCCCTCAGTGCTGAAAGGTCATTGACATTTCAAAGCAAACAAAGCAGCATGAATCACTCCAGCTGATTCTTGGTGAAAAAATATATTTAATTCAAACTTATGTTTACATCTGGAGTCGAACTTACCAGTTAAACAATAGCTTTACAATGATAAAACTACAATATATATATATATATATTATAAAATATAAAATGACATCTAAATATTTATGAAGACTATTTTTTGCTATTGGCTCAGTGAGACCATTAGTTCCTTTCAACCATTTAAATTTCTTCCTTTCAGTAAATCCATGAAGATCAAACAGGGATATGAATGTTCTTACCGAAGCTGTGAGAATAAATCCCACCAAACAGAGCAGCGCGAGTCCTCTCATCGTGGATGTGATCAGCGTCCCGTCTGCGCACAGACCTCCTGTTTTATAATGCAAGTGTTTGTAGGTGGAGACTCTTTCAGCTCTTGTTTAACATCAAAGTTCAACTTTGTTAGCAAATGCAAATATGTTTGCACTCACAAAGTCTGCTTTATTCTTCAGAAAACAACATTTTTTTATTAATGTAATTAGGCCCTTTTTACTTACTGTTTCTTTCTTTCGTTTTATTTATTTATTTATTTATTTTTGCTTCTTTCTTAAGTGTTATGTTTGGTTAAAAATGCTCAATTTATTCATTTTATTCATTTTTTTTAATCCATTTTATTAATGATTTTCTGAACTGGAATAAGCCAAATGTAAACTAATAGTGTTAAAAAAGACCAAAACCAGCTTTGACAGTTATGACAACACCCAGACGGGTGTTGTCATAACTGTCATGTCGAGTTAGTTTCTATTGGGCTGAATTTGCAGGTTCTCAGCTCTAAAACCAAAATGTAGAGGTCTGGGCATTCCTCTCTACACTGCACCGCATACAGTTGTTAAGTTTGTGTTTAGGAGTTTTGCCTCCTAAACAAAACTTTACATTGGAGAGATCAAACAGCTACTTCATAAACGCATGGCACAACACAGAAGAGCCACCTCCACGGGACAAGACTCGGCTGTCCATCTGCATCTAAAGGACAAAGGTCACTCTTTTGAGGATGCCAGTGTTCATATTTTGGACAGAGAGGACAGATAGTTTGAAAGAGGAGTGAAAGAAGCCATCTATGTCCACTGTGAATGATCATCTTTGAACAGAGGCGGTGGTTTACGACACCAACTGTCTGCCATCTGTAATCCAGTTTTGAGATCCCTTCCCAGACGTCTTAATGCCCACTCACATCCTGGGACATCTGACCTCAGGAAATCACATGATAGGGTGGCGCAATGGGTTCACTATGGGTGAAGGGTAAGGGTGGCATGGGGTGGCACCGCCCTTTCTAGACCCACCCTTCTAGACCCCTCTTGGTATCTGATTGCCTACCCTCTAACTCCCACCGTCATTGGTTTAGAAAACTGTCCATCTGAAACTGCCTTATCTTATTGGATCACAGTACTGTCAATCACTCTGCAGAATCACCGTCGTGTTTTGACAACACCGGTGATTGGATCTGCACGTTTCTGCAAGTAATATGCAGGAAAAACACTCTTACATTTAAAATGACTTTTAAAGCTATGAGCTAATATTGATTTTAAAATGTGTAGCTGTTACATTACTGCGTGTGACTAGCTTACTTTATTTTTGATTTGTAATTGTCTAACTGTTAATAGGTTAAATTTGTATGTTCCTTTATGTAAAGCTTGTGGTTTGTGAGGGAACAAAGCACTGTAATCAAAGTATCTGCATTTCAAAGTCTAAACATTACAAGCTGAGGACATTAAATTTGAGAGCACACATGTTTATTTAGTTTATTCAGAGAAGACGGTAACACCAGCAGAATCACGGTCGTCTGTCTCTGTGAAGATTCACGCTTCAACATTTTTAGCATCACACGTCTTCTTTCACTGTTGCTGCAGCTGTATTGTTGTGATGAACCTATAAAGTGTAAAGAGAAAATAAAAGGATTTCAATAAATTGCCACATATTCTCTGTTCTCTCGTCAGTGCTATTACAAATTAAATGCTGTCATCAGACATTATAAAAGCTGTGCTGATGGTGTTTTACCTCTGTGGCATTTCCAGCATGAGTAGAATTATTTGGATGCAAGGTCCCGTTCTGAAATGTGTTGGATTACATCAGTTACAGATCTTTAAACTCAATTAATGAAATATGACTTGCTCAAATGATTTTATACATCATTGGTGTATGAACTATGCTTTTTTGTTTTTAAACCTATCAGCTCATCTGTGGCTGGGACTGTCAGCTTTATTGTTCTTATGTTTTTCTCTGAGTGACACTACACTGATAATAAAAACTATTCAAATGGGGTTTTTTTTGACTGAACAAAAACTTTACAGAGTCTAGAAACTGTAGCTCGACTCGTGGTGGCTGTAGCTCAGGAGGTAGAGCAGGTCATCGGCTAACTGAGAGGGGATTGAGAGTCTATCTTAGCAGTCATGATGCAAAGGGCAGAGTACGCTCTCAATACATCACCAGCCTGTCACAGACAACCAAACATGCTAGCATTCACACCTACGGCCAAATTAAAATATAAAATTATAAGACATAAATACTGGTCATGTTTCTGGTGTTGTACCTCTGCAGTACTTACGCTTGTTGGTTCAGTTGGAAAAGAAAGAGGATTTTCAAGAGGGTGCCAGTGTGTGGCCTAAAATAGAAAATATATACAGCAAGCTAATAAGAAGCTTGAGCTTGCTCTTTTACAAAAATCCTTTCAAGTGTGAAAAGAGACAAAAATAAGTGCAGACAGAAGTTGACACAAAAAAGAAAGAAATTGTAACATTTTGCTTCTTCTTTTTGGATTCTGAGAACTGAAACTGAATATGTAAATTATGAGACAAAGGTTTAAGACTAACAATAGCTGTAACCTGTGTGTGCAACTGTTTCATTATCTGTACTCTAACTTCGTAAAACTGAATCATTTCTGTCAAATAATGACTTTACATCATTTTAACACAGACAGAAACATAAATGACACAGTCGCACATGGTAACACAGCTAAAAAAGTCATTATATTTGCTTATGTTTTGATAATTGAGATGCTGTACATAGGTGGGTGATTTTTACAACCAAGCTAAGGTACACAAAATAACTTTTTTATTTATGGCTTCTTTAGTCGTGCATAATAGTACTTGTTACAAAGTTACAAAAACACTTTTTGCTTGTGCTTCCTGGGCTTCCTTCATGCAACTGTAATGAAAATGGATCAATTTTATACATAATGATAATATACAAAACCAAAGTTAAAAGATGGAGGTTTTTAATTATTTTTATTTTATTACCTCAGTGCTGGAAGGTCATTGACATTTCAAAGCAAATAATTAATCAGTAAATCTCAGATAGTCAGCAGCAGCATGAGACACACTCCAACTTGTGTTTAAATCTGAAGTCTAACTTAACTGTTACACTAACTGTTAGGCAGGAAATCAGTTCATTAAAGGAAGCTCAAACAGGTGCATGATATTTTCTTACCGAAGCTGTGAGAATAAATCCCACCAAACAGAGCAGTGTGAGTCCTCTCATCGTGGATGTGATCGGCCTCCTGTCTGCACACAGACCTCCTGTTTTATAATACACACGTTTGTAGGTGGAGACTCTTTCAGCCCTTGTTTAATATCAAAGTTCAGCTTTGTTTGTTTGTTAGCAAACGTAAATATGTTTGCATTCTTTACTCTTCTTTATTCTCTACAACATTCAGGCCTTTCTTTCTTGTTTATTTCTGAAGTGTTATGTTTGGTGAAAAACATTCATTTTCTTAATGAATTTTTGAAATTGAATAATCCAAATATAAACTAATAGTGTTAAAAAGACCAAAACCAGCTTTAGTCTTTGTTCAGACAGGCATTGTCATGTTAGTTTGTCAGGGGCTGAATGTGTAGGTTCTGTGGAGACCTTCAGCTTTCAAACTTCAGTCTTAAAATAAATTATTTAATGACTGACAAGAAGAAACACTCTGATTTTTTTTAAAAGAAGAAATAAATAATTACAGATGGAAGTTAAAATCTGTTTAAAAAAATGGAAAAGGAAAAAAAGAGATTTTAAACCTTTTCTTTCTTCATACTGAAAACTGAAACCAAATAAGTGAATTATGAAGATCAAAAAGGGGACAAATATTTAATATTAACAACAGGTTTGTATTTGACATACGTAAAACTGCATCATCCCTGTCAAACAATGACTTGAAATTATTTTAACATGGACAGAAGCACACACTGCAAACCTGCGATGGATGTTAAAGATCAAAAAAGTTTCAAGAATTGGTAAATTTACAGTTACATATGCAAAAGTCAAAAACATCCATCAGCAATGGGGGACATTTAAAAGCTGATGTGTACCGTTAATCAACAAATACAGATCAGTATTTAAGGTTTGAGTCTCATCATCCACTGGAGCACAAACTGGGTGACGCCAGGATGCTACAGCACAGAGCGAACACCATCCCCACAGACACAGTGGTCAGGGAGGCAGAAGAACATCATATCAAGAAGGCCCTGAGTAAATGTGGTTATCCCAGATGGGAAGGCACCCGAAGAAAGCTCCAGGCGATCCAGGGGAGGACAACTGCCGCCTAAGCGAAAACCCTTAGTGATCTCTTATGTGTCAGGAGTATCAGAATAGAAATAGAAAAAAAAATAGAATAGAAAAAAGTTGGTCCACCGACACAAACAGAGTAACATAGTGTACGCTGTTAAGTGCCAGGGGGATTGCCAGGATTTATACATCGGGGAAACCAAACAACCTCTGGTGAAGCAGATGGCACAGCACAGAAGAGCTACCTCGTCAGGCCAGGACTCTGCAGTCTATTCACACCTACAGGCCAGTGGACACTCCTTCAAGGATGAGGATGTACACATCCTGGACAGGGAGGAACACTGGTTTGAGCACGGAGTCAAGGAGGACATTGACATGAAAAGGAAAAGAACATCTCTGAATCGAGGAGGGGGCATAAAGGTACATCTGTCACCATCTTACAATGCTGTGATTGCAGCCATTCTCCAACTCTCTGATCAAGGAACTGACCTCACAGCCTGTTCATCAGTGGTGCTGGTTTCAGTCATTAGGCAAATCTACTGTTTATAAGGTTGAGGAAACCTGCCGTCAGCTGAGACTGAAGAAGTCACTTGGATGAGTGACGAAACGTTTCTCCCACTGAAAACTCTACAGAATCAACCTTTACTTACCTGGATGACTGCGCGTGAAACAAGATAGTCAAAAACGTTATTGTATTTAGTTTTGTTTCGACTATTTTAGATTTTATAATTGCCTGATTTTCACCCCCAAGTTAAGGTACACAACCTTAACTGTTTTACTTTAGTGGTGAATAACGGCACTTGTCTCAAAAGTTATCATAAACACTTTTTCGCCCTCGCTCTTTTTTTTTTTTTTTTAATTAACTTATTTGTTGCTGGTGCTTCCTTCAAACTTTTTTTTGGTGGATTTGGTGTTGTATGTGTGTTTGGACACGAACGTTCAAGATCTTAAATGTGTTTAAAAACACATTTTAAACGATCCTATATGATACATGTTAAACAATAAGAAACTCTTTTTCTCACACCATAATTTTAGTGTTTATTCAGAGAAGACAGTAAGAATCACGGTCGTCTGTCTCTAAGAAGATTCGTGTTTCCACATTTTTAGCATCACATGTCTTCTTTCACTGGTGCTGCAGCTGTATTATTGTGTTGAACAACCTATAAAGTGTAAAGAGAAATAAAAAGATTTTAAATAAATTGCCACATATTCTCTGTTCTCTCGTCAGTGCTATTTCAGATTAAATGCTGTCATCAGACATTATAAAAGCTGTGCTGATGGTGTTTTACCTCTGTGGCATTTCCAGCATGAGTAGAATTATTTGGATGCAAGGTCTCGTTCTGAAATGTGTTGGATTACATCAGTTACAGATCTTTAAACCCAACCCTTCCCCAACATCTAAATAAAATATAACCTGCACAAATAAACAAATAATTTGATACATTTTATCATTTTACACCTTGCAGGACACACATGGACATATAAATATTGCTTATTTTTGTGGTGTTACTGACATGAGTTGGAGCAGTTGGAAAATTGCCAGTGTTTTCAAGAGGATGCCAGTTGCCAGCTTTCTAAAAATAAAAAAAATTAAACACACACACATTTATATATAATATTATAATGTTATAATTACTGGTGAATAATGCCACTCGTGTCAACAGGTTGTTTTTTTGTTTTTCTAACTTACATCCGATGATGGTGCTGCGCCTCCTTCATGCAGCTGAAAAGAAAATGGAAAACGCTTTAATAGAATAACAATATACAGATTTTAGTGTTGGAGGTTTTTATTTTTGCCTTTTTCCCCTCAGTGCTGGAAGGTCATTGACATTTCAAAGCAAACAAAGCAGCATTAATCAATTAATCTCAGCGAGTCAGCAGCATGAAACACACTCCAGCTGATTCTTGGTAAAAATAAATAAAGAAATGAAATTAAAAACATACTGGACTAACTAACAACAGTCCTACAATGTTAACGATGAAATCTAAACATTTATGTAGATTATCACTTGTTATAAGCTCAGTGAGACTGTTAATTCTTTTTAATCATTCAATTTCTTCCTTTCAGGAAATCCATGAACATCAAACAGGTGCATGATATTTTCTTACCGAAGCTGTGAGAATAAATCCCACCAAACAGAGCAGTGCGAGTCCTCTCATCGTGGATGTGATCAGCCTCCTGTCTGCACACAGACCTCCTGTTTTATAATGCAAGTGTTTGTAGGTGGAGACTCTTTCACTTCAGCGCTTGTTTAACATCAAAGTTCAACTGTGTTTGTTAGCAAATGTAAATATGTTTGCGCTCACAAAGTCTGCATTATTCTTCAGAAAACAACATTTTTAGTTTAATTTAGACGTTTCAACAGCAGTGAAGATTTAAACATCCCCTGTGACACCTGCTGTCCCAGGTGTCATGTTTACAAGAAAAGGCTGATAATATTTATACATTTTAAAAAATGTAGTCTTACATCCTGATTGCCTCATCCTGTCCTCGTGCACCCAGTCGGTTTATTTTGTATTGAAGGTGTCATTTTGTAACAAGCAGGGAGACAGACAACAGACACCTTATATATTCTGCTATAACCCAAAGGTGTCAAAAATAAGGCCCGGGGGCCAGAATCGGCCTGGCAAACACTCCAGAAAATATGAGGAAGTGCATAAATCGTTGGACAGCTTTTCCTGCTGATAACAGCCGTTCATTCTACACCAAAGAATTAAGTAATAGATAAATAGTTAAATGACAGAAAAGTGTAGACAGTGTTTTTCACTGTCTACCATTATAACAAAATAGAAAGAAAATTTTCATCCATCAACTGAAACTCTATGTTGTACAAACATCAGACACTCAGACACTCTGGGCAGTGAGCTGCACCACAACTGTAATTTTACACATTTATCATAGAAACACTGAGATGTGGTGTTGAACTTGCAGATCTTTATCTTATTTTACAATATCTCAGGGATTAAATGTGGAGTTAAACACCTTTACACGGACAGAAAGTGGAGTTTCACTCGTCTGGCCCACTCAAGTCATAGTGGACTGTTCGTGGCCGTCAGTGTGAAACGAGTTTGACATCACTGCTATAACCTCTCTGTACATCTGTTTCATTAGTACTTGACTTATGTAAAACTGCCTAATCCCTGTCAAATGATACATTTTAATCACATTTACATAGACAAAAGTAGAAAGTGGAAACCTGTGATGGATGTTATAGATCATAATGTTTCAAGAACTCGTTACTTTACACAGATACAGTCAAAGTTACTCTATTTTGTTGAATTTGCTCATTTTAGATGCAGTACTTAGGTGCTGGGGTTTTTTTGTTTTTTAACACCAGTGCGTGAGATACACTCCAGCTGATTTATGGTGGAAAAATACATTTATATCAAGCCTAAGTTTAAATCTGCAGTCTCGTTTATCTGGTAGTTAAACAACAGTCCTACAATGATAAAACCGCAAAGAAATAAATACATATATAATGATTGCTGGAAGATTTCAGCTTCACATATTAGAGTACCATCGGATTAAACTTTATACTGATGTTTTTATTTTGTGGTGCAACGGCTCAAATTTGATCAATCCAGCATGAAAGTTGAATGAATTTGGTGTTTTCTTACTTTTTATGACTAAGAATGTTTTGCTTTGCAGTTGTAAAATTCAACCAGAAACCATTGAGAAATTTAAAAAGACAATAAATGACAGTTTTTTATTAGTGTTTGCTCAAAAATGGGAGTTTGCAGGACTTGCTGGACTTAACAAGCCAAAAACTAGTTAAGAATTAACTAGTAAACTAGTTCACTAGTTTTAATGTATCTGTCCCAAATGAAAGAGCCTGATAAGAAAGACCAGTGAAAATTTCAAGCTATAGTATTTGATCTGTGAAGCTAAAATTTCCCTACAGTCATTACATATATTCACACTTTGTATTGATAGAATATTTATTGAAACCAGCAGAAAAAGTTTTAAAAATTGGGTAATTTGCCAGTATGATGTTTTGTTTTGTTTCTGAAGCTGTGAGAGTAAATCCCACCAAACAGCGCAGTGTGAGTCGTCTCACCTCGGATATGATCGGCCTCCTGTCTGCACTTAAAACTGTTTTATAATCCAAGTGTTTGTAGGTGAAGCCTCTTTGACTTCAACTCTTGTTTAACATCAAAGTTCAACTTTGTTTGTTAGCAAATGAAAAAAAAAGTCTGCTTTATTCTCTTCAAAACTGAATTTGTTATTAATGTAATTCAGACTTTCCCACATACTTATGAATCCGCTGTGCTCTCTTTTGTAAAATGCCATATTTAAAAGAAAAAGCTTATTTTATTTGTAATTTTTCTCAATGTTAATTATTAAGAAAAATGCCCGTAACAGGATGTCGAGTTAGTTTATCAGGAACTGTTTTTATTTGTTTATTTAAAAAGCAGCAGCACAAAGTATGATCATTAAATACAGTTAGGAGCTCATAGCAACGATGGCACACGTCAGGTCACGTGCATTTGTTATAACAGGCCTGAAATAAACAGCCACTGCCTTTGTGTTAGTAAAATGTGACGAAGTTAGTTTTGTACATTTACCGTCTCTTTAAAGAAAATGTTCTTTTTGTCTTCATTTGCGTCTCCCCTCGATAATTAATTCCAGTGTTGTCTCATTTTGTCAGAGTAGGTGTTTTTTTTTGTGTCTGGCAGATAATTTGTCAAAAGTTCCAGCTCTACATTTCTAAATGACCTTGGAAAAAGCACGTAACAACAAATAAGAGACACTTAACAAACAAAGGAAACTTTTCTCACAACAGACTTTTAATGATTATTTAGGTAAGACAGTAACATGAGCAGAATCACGGTCGTCCACTGTTGCTTCCACTGAAATGTTCTGATGAACGGTCTGTAAATTACACAGAGGGGAAAAAAATCTAATGATTTCACTTAACTGTCACAAAATCACACCTATGGTCAGGTTTTTATCTTTTTTTAAAACATTTGTTTTAAAATACAATTTTTCAAGGCACTTTGGTAATTTTCTTTTAAGTGAATGACAAATTATAGATGTGTAAATATGGTGTTTTACCTGTGTGTCATTTCCCTCGGCTGATTCAGTTGCATCACGTGTACCTTCAAGGGGATTCCAGTACCCATGGAACATCGGACTTTGCTATCAACATTGAAATAAAATATAATCTACAATAATCTACATTTATACATGAAATATGCATATAAATAATTAAGTAAAGACAAAGAAATTCTAAGTTTCTAAGTTTTAAGGTTACACTAATATACAGCACATCTGTGTCACTGTAGCATAAAATTGAAATAAGCAGTTTGAGCTTGTTGTGTTAGTAAAAATGCTTTTAGGAGTCAACATAAAACAGAATTCACACAATTTGTGTAGATATTTGACTTGTTGATGCGGGTGATAGATTGAATGATCTTAAATATAAATATTACAAAATATTAAAAATGAATATTAGGCTAATTTTACTCAGTAATAGATGATCAACTCTGAAGCAAGTCATAGATCTGTTTATTTTCTTGGTATTTCAAGGCCCGGGGCAAAGATTATATCTGAAAAAGGGGTTACAGATATAATTCCACACACGTGGGGCAATTGATATTTATTGTTGGGTTTTTTTCAATTTAAAAAAACAAAAATCTCATGATGATAAGAATTATGTCTCAGTTATATGTTAGTTAATAAAGATTGACCTCTTTAATAGTGAAAAATATTAAGTCTTTGTTGTGAAAGTTGAATATAGTTTGGTAGTTTTTTAAAGATTTTATTAAATTTTTACCTTACCTTTCCTTTTTTGGGGGCTCTGTTGAGCTGCTTTTATTCTGGACCTGAAATGAAAGTGTGTGACATTTATAATAACATATAAAGCTGAAAATTTAATATGGCAGATTTGTAGTATATATTTTCAATGTTTACATTTTATCCCAGCGCTGGAACAGGTAAAAAAAAACCCCAAACAACTAAATAAAATATAATCAGTAATTCATTTATTTTTTTTATGTATTTATTTTGACTTACATTATTCTCTGCTGGTGCTGTGCTTCCTTCATTCAGCTGAAATTAAAATGGTTAAAACTCTCAGAACACTTTCATAGAATCCTACAATATGAAGCCAAAACGCAGTGCTGTAGGTTTTAATTTCTGCCTCTTTTTTAAAATAATGTTTTTCACTCCACGTTTGAAGATCATTTCAAATCAAACAACGCAGCAAAATAATAATACAGTTAATCTCAGTGAGTCAGCAGCAGCATGAGACACACTTCAGCTGATTCTTGGTAATAAATATGTCTAAATAAATATTTATGTAGACTGTCATTTGTTATAAGCTTTCAACAAATATGTGAACATCAAACAGTGATATATTTTCTTACCGAAGCTGTGAGAATAAATCCCACCAAACAGAGCAGTGTGAGTCCTCTCATTTTGTAATCAGCTTCCAGTGAGCGCTTAGGCCTGTTTTATGATGCATGTGTTTGTAGGTGGAGGCTGTTTTACTTCAGCTCTTGTTTAACATCAAAGTTCAAATTTGTTCAGATTTGTTTGCTTACCTGCCCAAAGTCTGTTTTATTCTCAACAACAGGGCAGATGTTAATTTGCTGAGGCTGGTTGCTCTCATGGGCGTCCCCTCCAATAATGACTTTTT